ATCAAAGAAATAAAGTTGTCTCGGATCCTTTGGTTCACGCTAATAATTTGATGGTTAAACATTGGTAATCTCGTCATCGACCAAAACAAGATGAAATGAAATAAAGTCGGGAAGTGAGAAAAAAAGAGAAAGTCGGTCTCGAATTCTTCATTTCTCATCAATAATTTGACGGAGAATCGAAGGAAATGTCGTCATCGACCAAAAGGCCAAAAAATGCCCAATAACAAATGGAAAATAAAATCTACTTCTAAAATCTATAAAATGTCTCTAAAAGAAATATTAAAAGAAATAAAGTCCAACTCTAAAAATCAAAAATAATCTAAAACTTGAAAGAAAATAATACAAAGTTCTAAAAAAAATATTTATAAACTTCTAAAAGGAAAATTAATATAATATAATCTATAAAAAAACTTTAATAAAAGAAACTAATATAAATTAATTAAACTAATAATACCAAATATAATATATATACAAAGTTCTATACAATATAAAAATATATATACACTAATCTAAATTAAAAAAAATGAATATAATATATAATATATTAATAATAATTACATAAGAAAGAAGAAAAAAAAAAGGGTGAAAGAATTTATGGAAGGAATGGATAGAAACCTAATTAAACCTAACGTACAGTTTATCAAAATCTTAATTAAACAATTATTAATTAATATTAATTAAAAGGTATTCATAAACTAAAATAAACAAATAAATAAATAAATAAATGAAATAAATAACAATAAATAAAAGAAGAAAGACCGGGCCACTCACCTCATAATGTTAATACAAATGCTATTAAAACTAAGACTAAATCAACATAAAAATCTCAACTAACAAGGCGACACATGGCAGTGATTTAATAATTAAAAAAGAAAAAAAAACACTAAAAAACTAATAAATGAATTTTACATAAATAGGAGGGATAGAAAAACCATCGAAACATATTCTTCTTCATCGTGAAAACTCACTGCTTAAACAACAAATCTCTCTCCGGGTTTTTTCTTCAACGCTCTCTCTATTCTCTCTCGTCGTTTCAGTTCTAAATCATCCTTTCTCTCCATCTCGTTTTGTTTCTATTTCTGGTTTACAGATCCGATTCGAATGAGGTCATGGGTGAAGATCTGATGTTTTGTGGTTGCGATTTGATTTTTCTGGGTTTTTTTTAAGGTTCGGTGGTTGAGCGTTAACGGTGGCTGGTTGGATGTTGTGTATGATTCGCGGTTAGATTCGAAGAATGGGGAAGAAGGGTTTCGAAATGAGATTGTGAATGGGTTTGATGTTATCTGGGTTTGGAAGGAGGGTTGGAGCTTGCGAAAATGGTGAAGTGGAAGATTTTTGGAGGTTTTCCGAAAATGGGTTCTGTTATGGTGGTTTTGGAAGGTGATTCAAGATGATGAAGGAAGTTGGATCGATGTTGAAAATGGAAGTGTTTAGTGGTGGTGCGGTGAGCGTGGATTCTGGTGATGGAGGAGGCGGCTGTTAGGGTTCATTTTAGGGTTAGGGTTGGGATTGGTGAGCTGAGAGGTCCAAGAGGATGAATAGTAGTGTGGCTTATATACTCGTGACACATGGCAAACAGACAAAATAATGACTTAATTAAATTTTAACGAGGGATTAAAGACTAATGAAATACAACTGACTTATTTATTAAAATAGAATAAAAACGATAATTACAAAAGCTGATTCTAATAATGCTGACTCTAAAACTAAACAAGTTAATTTCTAACTTTATAACTAAATAAATCTCATTAACTAATAACTCATTAATTAAATATCTAACTACTCCTAATTAAATAATAATAATGAAGCTAATCTAAATAAATAAAAAGAAAATAATTTTAAATACTAATAATAAATAAATAAAAGGAAAATAAACAATCCAATTAATAAATAAGTTCTAATTAAGTAATCTATTATAATAAAATGATAATAAATGAAAACTAATTAATAAAAAAAATTATAAAAATATTCTATACAAAACTAAAATTAAACTAAATTCTATCCTAAAATCAATAAAACTACTCTAGCTAAATAAAATAAAAGAAAATAACTTTAATTAATACTAATTTAATTCTAAAAAAAACAAGCTATTCAGATTAAATTAAATAAAATAAAAAAGTGAGCAAAAAATTTAATATTTGAAAAGAAAAAATGAAAAAAAGAAAGTGGAAACAAAATTTACCAAAATGCCCTCAGGCCACGTGTCGCGCTCCCATTGAGCAAAATAAACGAGATTTGAAAGCACTCAATCAGGGGCGGACACGCGTCTAAATGGCATGAAACAAAAAAGCAAAAATATTTACAAATGGGTAGGTCAAATTTAGGGTATGACAATGGCCTAACTCTTGTCAGATTAATTTTGCAAGTGTTCCCAATATTGACTCTCCTTAGCTCTGCAGAATATCTCCATAGAAGATTGTATTGTTTCACTGCATCACCTTCTACCAAAACTTTTGCAATTTTTTGTCTTCCATGCTCTGCTCATAGTTATACCAACTGAAAAGTTACTCCTAATCTCAGTCACAATATCTTGAATCTTAACACCATCTGAAGAAGTCATTCTAGCAGCCACAGTTTTGGCAACCCACTTGGAAGTGGTAGAGCTATTATTTAGTACCTAACCACACTTGTGTGTTCCAATCCATTTCTTCATTCTATACGTGTTCTTATTCCCAACTTTACTTGCAAGTTCTAAAAAAATACATTTGCCCTTGCAAATTACCCTTACTCTAACTTTGTCATTTTTCATAAACTTTATCTGTCTACCATTCAATACTGACCATTCAGTTATTGCCTCCTTAAATTCTTCAAGTGATACAAACTCTAATCCCACTTTAAACTTGTAATTCTTGTCCAACTCATGCATCTTAAACTTTGAATATTTTGGTTCCTTTTCTCCATCAGAAGCATTATGGTCACTACTACCAAGTTCATCACTTGCATAGTTGATATTCAACTCATTAATCACACCACTAGCTGACCCTGCATTATCAACACCAATTGGTACTTTCTTTGGAGTGTTCTTGTGCTTTCTTGCTGCAACTTTTATCCTACATCTTTTACCATTATCTTCAGTTTGATTTTCAACAGCATCAAAACAATCATCGAACCCAAGAGCCCTTTCATCCTTACTATCATCAAATGATAAATCATTAGCTAAAAAGTCATTATTCTCATTGTCCTCATTGTCCTCACTACCCTTATTTACTTCAACTTGTTCCACACTTGCTCCATCCTGCCTATCTTGCCCACCTACACTAGCTTCTTCATCTTGCCCATTATCTATTTCATGTTGCTCCACACCACCAACATCATCTACTTCAACATTCTCCTCAACACCAACATCATTACCATCTTGCCCATCTTGCTCCACACCACCAACATTATATACTTCATGTTGCTCCACACCACCAACACTATATACTTTTTGTTGCTCCACACCACCAATATTATCTACTTCAACATTCTCCTCAACACCAACATCATTATATACTTCATCTTGCTCCACACAACCAACATTGTCTACTTCATTACCTACTTCATGTTGCTCCACACTACCAACATTATCTACTTCAACATTCTCCTCAACACCAACATCATTACATACGTCATCTTGCTCCACACAACCATTAATTGTCTACTTCATTACCTACTTCATGTTGCTCCACATCACCAACATCATTACCTTGTTCAGCTATTACCGCATTGCGTTCACCTTTATACTCTACATATATATGCATTGCGCACTTCATTTTTATGACATATTGATATACATTAGAAGCATCTGTGTCACTAACCATTCCACTATACCTATCAGCATCACTGTTATACCACCATAACCAATAATCAGTATGTTCAAGCTCAGTTAACTCTTTCACAATACCTATTGCTTCAAATAAGCTCCACCTATCAGGATCTATTTCCACTGCATGCTCGTTTCCCCCTGTGTAGTATACTAGGCAGTCCCTATCAAATTTATCCCCATAATGAACAATCAAAGAGAACTCCATGGATGAGTATTCATACCTTCATTTTGAAATCTACTGCATGCGATACCTGTTGGATGATCTTAATATCAACATTTCGTCATCTTCGTCTTCCACAACAACTTCAATGGAGTGTTTCTATTTTTTGCTCAAAAACCCTAATTTTCCAGAGATCAAACACAAAGTATGTTTTATGCACACTTTTATATTTTTGGTGAAAAATTTAGAAATTTCCACATAGATATGTTCACAAGTGAAAAACACACATAAGTAAAGCACCGTTTACACAATCAACGTTTTATGTTCATAAGTGAAAAGCACACATAAGTAAAGCACCGTTTACACAATCAATATTTTTTTAACAAAAGACTGACGTTAGGGATTAAATGCAACAAGCAACAAAAAAAAATGATATTCTCTCTATTTCAAAATAACTAATTCAATGAAAGAAAAATGAAATTCTCTCTATTCCAAAATAACACACTCAACCAACTAATTTAAAGAAATTAAAAAATACATTTAGACTTTTTTACTAAAACGTTATTATCTTATATATTGGTATATTCATCTTTGATAGATATAAATTTGAAAATGTCAAATTGAAAGTAATGCAAATAAATACAATTGAATTTTTTTATTAATATTGTCAAAAATTGAAAAGAGCCTATCATTTTAGAATAATTTCTTTTACAAATAAGTCAATTATCAAGTAAAATTTAAACTAAACATTATCGTTAGCATTAAAATGACTTATATTTTTAAGTCAAAAGTCTAAATTTAGGATTTGCTTTTGGCCTCACAAAGAATGAAGAAATGGATTGGAACACACTAAGATACTTGCCAAACTTTGTGTACACACTAAAATCAACTGGAAATCTTGATGAATGTTTCATCCAAAAAAAACAGTGCCACATTTTGCATGAAAAGTTTATCATCCTACACTGATAAAACTAGAAAGGATTCTCTAAAAAGTAAAAGCTTCCCTTTCAGTTCAGCTTTCTCCACCTTGTCAGTTTATGAAGAACTAGAAGAGCTATCAGATGAAACTTCAACGAAAATGTCTTCTTGTAGAAAAGACAACAAACCCGAGCCTGGAGTTGATGAAACTTCAGAAGCTTTTGGTTCTTCTACTTTCTTTGAAATTGCGAGCTTATCACCAATTGCCTTGCTATTATCAGGTTTGATCCCAGCAGAATTACTTCCTTCACCAACGTCTTCTTTAGCTTTGATCTCATTCGATATTGCTGAATGAAGTAAAGTTGTGTTCTTTTTTGGATGAATGAAATTCAAATTACCGATAGCGCTACCAGGGGACCCCTTGGCTTGGAAGGCTGTTTCGCTTTGTTTCCCCGCCAAAGCATTTGGTGTTGCCAGCGATTTAAGCTGTTTCCACTTGTTGAATGAATCCGGCGGCAACTGTGATAAAGGTTCTTTCAACAAAGGTTCTTTCACCAAATCTACTGAACCATTTACTTTCTCTGGGGTTTGTTTTGATCTCTTGGTGACAACTGAGCGCACGGTTAAACCAAGATCTTCTTTGGCCCATTTATAGACTGCACTTAGTTTTCCATCCAAAGCTTGATGAAGAACCTCCAATTCACTGATTTCATAACGGTAGAGGAGAATTTTGTCTGCCCAAGGGCAAGAACAAAGCTTTCTTGCATGATCAAGACACACAAACTTGTCATCTGAACACGAACAACCGACGGCTGAAAGAAATAAATCACGCAGACATATGCTACATTCCCTTTTACAACTGGCATCAAAGTTTTCATCCATTTTTTGTGATTTGAAAGAAATGGAAATAAATTTCCTCTTCAAATTTTCACTTGTGATGAGAGACTGCACAAATGAAACGAATTGAGGTCGACTAATAAACAATCTCGTCGAATTTAAGAATTAGAATTGAAGGACTTACATTCAAAGCTTTTGGTAAGATCCCATTTCTTTGATATGCATCTCTACACGTTAAGTTGTCGGGCGTGCTCTTCATAAGTATATCAATTTCCCAACGGGTCCTCACAGCTTCCCTTGCTGCTCCCAGTAACAGCTTATCGTATGAAATTAATGTTTTTCTCTTCTGTTCACCATATAGCTCAACAACATTCTGTCCATGAGGCAGCCACTCGAGAGGAGCAAAACTTGCTGCTTCAGAACAGTTGAAACCACAATCAAATCCTGAATGATATGCTCCAGGGAAGACAAGAACAAATTCACGAGGATACTGAACACAACGATATACTGGTATACCCTCTTTCTTCAATACTGAGCAGGATAACTGCATAGCCTGTACGGAAATGGCATACACAGATTCACATTGAAAGGCTTAATATATCTTAAATATGAGAAATAAAAGGGTGTTCAGAGTACACCATTGCCCCTTTTCAATGAAAAGCAAAATGCAAGTAACAATCATATTCTTACCAGTTCATCATATAAATCAGGTTTTCCTGCATTCATATCGCCGAGATACTTCTTCCAAACTGTTTCAAAGTGATCAACAGATCTTACTGGGACACTATACCATACTTTGGGTTCACCAATATGCATGTAACATAATGAGTATAATTGGTGCTCTTCAACTTTCTGTTTTGCCAATGATTATAAAGGATAGTAAATAGGAGATTCTATAGTTGCATTTTGAACTTGATCTAGAAGTTTTCGCCCATAAAAAATTAGGAAAGAAACAAAGATGCAATAATTCAATGACATTACCCATTTAAGTGGAGAAAAGCACATTCCCACATGTATCCTAGGGGAAAATTTATGTGCAGCTTCAGGGTTTTCAAAAGAAAGAAGAGAACCTGGGAGTGAAAGCATATTATTTAAGTTCCATCCAGATTTCATATATTCAGGGTAAGTGTATGCGTTCGGAGGATCAGAAACCGTTGGAATTGGAAATCCACTGCTAAAATCTCCAGCCTTACCACAGAGAACCTAGAACAATATGGCAGAATTACATGATTAATATTTTCACAACTAATCAAGGACTAAATATATAAAAGGCATTACATTTTTCACTTAAATTTCATCAACATACCTCAATTTCTTCAGTTGGATTTTGAACAATCCGTCTGTACTCACCCTCAATATTCTCAACAGATGGCTCCCATTGCTGTTGATGTATGGTTGAATTCTTATCAGAACCCATAAACTTAATCTTATCCTTGTAGTTGAAATATTGGATCTTGAATTCATCTGCCAATTTCTTAAACGTTTTGAGAGTGAATTTAGGACCGGATTTAGGCTCATCATCACAGCCTTCAACATTTCCGTTATTTGAGGTGCAAGTGCTTCTATTATCACGATGAGAGTCCATATCTACTTTAATCACTTTTCTTCTTTTGGTTTTGGTAGTATCATGAGAGCTAGCCATACTTTCTTGTGCATGCTGAACTTGATGCCCATCAATTCGCTGAGTTTGAGCAACAAATTCAGAGTTTTCCCATACATTCTTTTCTTCAAGAGTACATGACGGATTCCAGCTTTTAGGAGGGACAATACGGCAGATTCCATAAGGTTCTGCTCGGGAATGTATGCTTGCGATATATCCAAGTGTATCTTTGAATTCCTGCATGATGTATACAACCATATGAATCCATATTATTTAAGCTTCCTTTAGTGCCTTCATAATGTATTCAACTGTATTCTATAAACTCAACAAGCATATGAATCCACATTTGATGATATAAATCAAGATATACACATACACATAAAAAAAACACGGGTGAATACATATTACATACTAATACTATTATGTTAAGTCGTGTGGTAGGTACCTCTTCTGTTGGATGGAAAATAGGAGCTTCTTCGAGAACTTCTGTTTTTGCATCCTCAGGATGCCACCTTGCTGTTACCTGGTTCAAGTCTTTGATAAATAAAAACCAAACAAATATGTATATAGGAGAAGAGGTCATCTTTATAACATTAATTAAAGCTAAGGTGAAAGGCATGTCTACCTTTAAGCAATTACTGCATTTTGGACATCCATATACGGTTCCTTTTGGGCGAGAAGAATTTCTAGGGGGATTCTGGAAATAAGAAGTTTAAATCCATAAGTAAACTTTCCATCATGCTTAAAGCAAACTAGTCATTAAATAATAGCATTTAAAGGTTCTAATTTCTAAGAAAAACGAAAGAAACAGAGAAAATGTAGGAAAGTAGATGAAAACAAAGAAATAATTAGTTTAGTACTCTCTGAATTCAGATTCTAAATTTTGGTTAACACTGAACAGATTTCGGACATTAGTAGTGTAGCCTGAATGCAGTTATCTTTAACTATTCCGAACTAACTTGTAAGTTCTAACAGATAACTGATTCTTTGCTACTAGCAATCCAAAGCCTAAATCATAAACATAATTATAACTTTTATGTACGTGTATTCTACTGGTAGCAGTAGTTAAGGTATCGCATTCATTGCTGAAAATCATTACTTAATATAAAACAAACTCAACACTGATTTTTCAAACGGCCAAGATCATAAAAATTTATTCATATTCCCCTACTTTTACTAATGCATCTCATTTCTGACTAAATAATCCGGGATCTAATCATTAACAGGAAAAATTGCAAAATTACCAAGTTAACCCTAGGAAGATGCTCCGCGCACGATTCCTCGGATTTGCTCTTCTGGTCCGATACTATCCATGGCCGATGTGCATTAATCTGGTTGTATGAAGTATTGTCATCCATCTCAGGTTTAGTCTTTACGTGAGTCGGGTCGGACTTACTGGTTTTCTCAACCTTGTCATCCCTATTCAGGAAAAAAGATGTTAGAGATACAAAACCAGGTGGAACTGAAAGAGGCTCCATCTTCTCGATTTCGGAACAGTTACTTCCTTAGCCAGCTTCCATCATCACTGTAGGCAAAAACCAAACAAATATTATATATATAAAAGAAAAATCTTAGTACTAACAATTATTATAGACCACTCAACAGTTCAAAATCCAAACTAGTTAGTTATTATCACTTTCCCTTTTTCATTAGGGTAAAAAACTTCCATTTTTGTACTTGCTAGTTGTTATCAACTTCTTGAATTCAGCTCTATAGCTTAATGTGCAAAACTGAATCCAATGTCAAAATGCTTAAGATACAAATTCAAATTCGTCTTGTAGTACAGTACTATGGGAACAAAGGAAAATGTAGAAAATCATTTTATGAAGAGAACTTAATGTAAAAAAGAGGGATACATAGTTGTAAACATGCATGAATTTCTCGGAATTTCGTCCAGTGTTACCTACTTCGAGTAGAGCTCTGACCTAATCTGCTGCGACGGAATTCTATACGGCGTAGCTTGTTGAAGAGGCGGCTAACGCGGCTGTAAATGGCGGTGGAGAGAAATTCGAAAAGTGAGTAAAAAGGGGGGAAATCGCGTGGCGGAGTAGGTTACTGGTTGTGGCGGCGGAGGAGGAACATGAGCATGTTTTCCGGCAAGATGAATTGTGTGCGACTGGGGATGGAAGTGCTTCAGTTTTGTTGTTTTATTAGTTTAGTCCGGTCTGATGGAGTGATGGGGACTCATCTACATTTGAGTAAATTTGGAATTTAACTATACTATTTGAATAGATGAAACTAGCATACATGGATTCCACATTTTTATTTACTTTTAATTTATTTTTTAAAGGTGAAATTCAGATAAGTTTTATTCAATGAAGAATGTAACTACTAAATTTTTAAGAAAATTGTAATTTTTTTTTATAAAAAACATCGTTCAATTTATTTGTAAATAATTTTCTATACAAATAAGATTTTTTTTTCATCAATAACTTTTTGGAGTTGAATAAGGATATTGTTTTCGCAACATAAATACATCAAATACATATGTATAAATGAATCACATCCTCATTTTATAAAAAAAAAAAAAAAAATACAAAAATGCATTTTTGAATAAATTTAAAAATGTATTTTCAAATGTATCTCAAATACACCAAATACATATATAAGTGAGTTACACCTTCATTTTCTAAAAAATACAATTTGAAAATATACTTTCGAAATAATACGAAAGTATATTTCATAAATTCTTGACCTGTTATGCTACTATTCACAAAATACTAACTTATGAGATTCTTGAAATCCCCCTGTAAGACACCCTAAGGATTGATATCACACCTTTATGAAATATCTAAAATACTCTCAGATTTTGTAGATGCATCTTCAGACGCACCCCAAACACATTGGTTCCTAAATTATACCCTGAGACTATGCCAAAAATCATTATGGAAATGCATCTCTGTGTAACTCACGAAGATGCATCTTTGGAAGCACCTCAAACATATTTGTTCTTGAATTAGACCCTAAGGTTATGCCAAAAATCATTACGGATATGCATCTTCGAATGTTGCGTTAAACAAAAGGGTTTCATACCCTTTATCTTTCTTCACTTCTCAAAATAGTCTCTCAAACTCTCAACCTATAAAGTCTGGAACTCTCTTAACTTACATTCTCTCAAAATCATTTAACTCACTTCAAATCTTCTTCCATCAACATCAAATCGATAAAAGAGATTACTCAACATCAAACTTAACTCACATTTGGTAAGTTTTTTATTTTTCTAAACTTTTATTATTTTCTATATACATTTGTAGAAATTGAGCATTAGGTTATTGATGAATTCTCGGCAAGTGTATCGATAATATCGCAGTAATAAAAAGATCAAAACCACAAGGGTTGTGTTTGAACAAAATAATGATTTGTGCAATATTAAATAAAAACAGTAAAAAGGGGATTTGCAAATTTCAGTGAAAAAATAAATTAAACAAGAAAACTAAGTCACGAAAGCGGTCAGGTTGTGTTTTAGAATTTATTTATCCCCTATTGTGGATGTATGATGTCTTTTATGAATTATCTTATCCTTATAATTTTACGGTGAATTAACAAAACTGTTATAGACAGTCCCCCTCAAAATAACTCACTAATAACTACTTTGAACTTTTTATCCCTAGTCTATCAGCGTAAGCAGTGTTAGGCGATGTACAAACTGCTAATTCTCTGTGTCACTACTCGATATCTCTTATCCCTATTCAACCGGCTTAAGTAGAATAGTTGCCCTAGGTCCAATACATAGGCTACGAGTCATGAATCCTTATGTATCTAACAAAATATTAACATAGTATCTCAATTAATAAGCATTAAGCATAAGAGACAATTGAATAAAATTATAATTCAAAAGGTTCATAAAAAGTCAAAGTGTCATATAATTCCAACAAGATTGAATAAAGTTCATCACAATACAACCTAACCTAGGATAATTTAGGTACACATAGTGAAAATACAATACTAATTGAATAAAGATGAAAAACATGTGAATTCACTTGAAGGATTGGCCTCCAATGGCTTCCAATTCACTCAAAATCACCCTCTAATGTTGTAAAATCATGCTCCTAGTGCCAAATTTTGTAACCCTTGTAAAAGTGTAGAAAATCCCCTTTTAAAACTGCTAGAGCGGTCAGAGCGCTGTGAGTACATTCTACAACCTAGCCATGTTTTGAATGATGTCAAAACTAGGAGTGTGACTTAGCTTTTTTGTATATTGGGCGGTATCAATCAAAGTTTAGATGTGCATTGAATCATTTTAGGCTTAGGATGCATACAAATTTTTTTGAAAAGGATTGAAAAGCCTTAGGCATGTCACACACATCAAAAACAAAGTTTCATGTGTGAACATAGTTGCATAGGCCGACAAATATGAGTTCAGGCCGACCCATAGAAGCTTTTGCTTCAATATAGATCGATACATAGCTCTTACAGGCCGACCTCCACGCATCAATATTAAAGTATGTAAGCTTTGCCCATAGGTCGCCTCACTTAGGCCGATCTGAGTACCTTGACAGGTCGACCTATTGCTTTCATAGGCTGACTTGTAGCTTTCAAAAACTTAAAATTTTGTTTTGCATCTTATTTTTCCTTGCATCCTTTTTGCCTATTTTCACACATAGCTATATATACTCATACATCACTATGTCAAAAAAGACCTTTAGCAGCACTTTTTTTGGTCTTTAGCAGCACTTTTTTTTGCCTTTAGCAGCGCTTAAAAGCGTTGCCTAAAGTGGCGTTGCTAAAGGTAAAGGCAGCGCTTTTTATGGAAAAAGCGCTACTATAGGCTCACTTTTAGCAGTGCTTTTCCATAAAAGCGATGCATGTCCCCCCCCCCCCTTTAGCAGCACTTTTGGAAAGCGCTGCCTATTCTCCCCCATACAGCAGCGCTTTTAGAAAGTGCTGCATATCCTCCCCTTTAGCAGCGCTTTTAAAAAGCGCTGCCTATTCTCCCCCTCCCCCCTATAGCAGCGCTCTCTTTGCCTCCCCCCTTTAGCAGCGCTTTTATATAAAAGTGTTGTCTATTCTTCACGTTTTTTTTTTAAAAATTTAAAAATCACTATTTTATATTTTTTTCGATAAACCTGCTTATAACAATTACATTCCCCTACTTATAATTCAAGCCTTTAGTTTTAAAACTAATTACTCAGATGAAATATCGGTTAATTATTAAAATAAATCATATAACTTATAAATTGATCCATACCATGATTGGAATCTCTATTTGACCCGAATGAATAACTTCCTTCATAAAGCGCAATACAAAATATCCGCAATCCATCCCATTGCGCTGACGAGGACACTGTAAATGGAAAAAAACAAACGAACATTTATCAGGATATATAGTTTAACTAGTTTTATCAAGTAGAATCACTATAACAGTCAAAAATATGAAAATATACCTGCACTCTGATCCAGCTAATGTTGTTAGCCTTCCTTTTTGGCATTGTTGCTTCTCTTTGTGGTTAGAATATTTGTATAGCTCTAACATAATATAAACGAATATTTAGAACAATCTCACATAATAAATAAAGATAATTATTCAAAACAGTATATCTCATCACTTACGTATCAACCATATTCTTCATATCAGGATATTTTATTTGATCACCATCTAGTGAATCCAGATAATACACTATTTCTTTCATCGGATTACTCGCAACCAACAACCAGTGTCCACTGTAAAATAAGACAAAAGTTTAGACGGAAATGTTATATAGAATGGAAAAAAATGAATAATTATAATAAATGAATTTAGAATGAAATCTAACCCATGGCCAGTATTATATGGCAAAAAGTACAACTTCTCTGTAGTTGCGACCATAAATGCTTGGAATATGTAATCTCTAACTACATTTAGAGTCTGATCGATTGACCGTGAGTTGATAAAGCTAGAATATAAGAATGTGAATCTTGAAGTCAAATCATGCGGGACCAACAACTTGTCATACAAGAACCTTAAATAAAAACATAATCAACCGATGCCCAATAAAAACATAATCAACCTTAAATAAAACATTAGAATATTCAATTAAATGAGCAAATAAATTATTCAATTATTTAATTAAAATTGATCGGAGTACCTGATGTAGGAATGCATAACACCGATGCCCAATTCAGAATGTTGGAAAATCTGGTCCAAATCCTCCTTAACAATTGTTTCGGCATATTCAAAACCGAAAATACCTTCCTCCATATGTATTTGACGGATGCCACCCTAAGCCACATTTGTTGTTCCTACGTATGTTTCAAGGCACAACCTAAATCGAGGAACAAATGCTTTTTTTGACTCGGCCTTTTTTTTGTTGGGCACTGTTGCACCCCAAAATTTGCCCACCGGTTTTCCGACTTTGACTGGCTTTTGCTTCGTTTTTCATCTGCATATCATTTTCGCATTTTGCCCGTATTATCAGCCGGATTGAATTTGTCAGGATTTTAGCCGCTTTGCTCGCGTTTCAGGCGAATCAAATTAATTCAAACGAAAAGCTCAGTGTCA